TCCTGAATTTAAGAACCCATGGGATTCTGAACATTAGAGAGGGAATTTTCTGTAGTTAGACTTACAAACAAGCTCCAGAATCTTGCTAGTTCAAAGACATTTTTAACCAAACTACTTTCCTCCTGTAAGGTACTGGGGGTGGGGAGGGCTGTGATCAGTGAGGAATAAGTACTTTTTGGGTTTTTTTTTTTTTTTCCCCTTGAGGTAGTTGCTGTGTGTTACACTGTTGCCTTAACAACAACAAAGTCAGGAACAATTCCAAGGGCTTATCTCCTTTAATCTTTACAAAACCTTATAAGGCAGGTGGTACTCCCAATACTATAGATGAGTACATATGCTTATAGTTAGGTTAGATACCCCACTGTGGGTTGTATGCATCAGCAGAGCTGGTATGCAAGCCCTGGTCTGTCTGACTCCAAAGCTGGTGCTTTTATTTATTTTACAAATAGAGATGGGATCTCACTGTGTTGCACAGGTTCTCCTGGACTCAAGCGATGCTCCCACCTCGGCCTCTCAAAGTGCTGGGACTACAGGTGTGAGCCACCATGCCTAGCCAAAACTGTTTTAAACAATATACCATCCTTCACTTTGTGGAGGGTATGGGGAATGATTTAGACAGTTGGCCTCCTTTATTTTCTCTAAGATGGTTCTTCACAGATTGATGATCGCTAAATTACATTTTTAGAGTAGGCTAGTTTTGTTGTTGTAACTTCCTTACAGTGTCATTCCCATAAAATTTTGTATCAAACTGGCTGTAGTGGCATGTAGCTGTAGTCCCAGCTACTTGGAAGGCTGACACAGAGGCTTTTTGAGCCCAAGAGTTAATGACTAGCCCTGGCAACAGAGCGAGACCCTGTCTCAGAAATTTTTTTGTATCAAGGATTTGAGATTTATAAGACACAATATCACAAAATTTGAAAGAAGAGAACTGAAGTAGTGATGAGGTGAAGGAGATTAAGAAAAGGAAAGAAGTAAGAGGGGAGGAAAGAGAAAAGATAAGTTTTCTCCCATTTGATACCTGGACTAGCTGGACTTATTTTAGGGCCTCTGGAATGTGGCTGCTGTTGTCTTTAAAGGCCAAAGAATGATCTTGAAAACATTGGCTTCTAAAAGTCTGCTTGATAGTGGTGTGGACATTAGAGCTAAGTTTTTAGATTGTTCTTTCAGAGCCAAAGAAATTTTGCAACCCAGCAAGAAGCAATTGACCCAGCTGTCCTGGCCTACACAGGTTTAGACGGCACATTTGGCCTTCTTGATATAGGAGTATTACTAAGGGCAAAGAGTGTTTTTAGCACAACCTTTAAAATACTTTTTTTTTCTTGGACTTCAGTACCTTTTTGAAAGTGTCCTCTTCCATTTTTTTTTACTTAAAAATGCTTATTTACAAAAAAGAAAAATAAATAAAATAAAAATGTTTATTTACAGTTTTTAGTGAGGTACTCTGCGAGAAGTTGGCTAGACCTTGCCATATGGGATTGCAAATGGGCAGACATACAATATATGACCAATTTAGTGATAAGCATACTTATGAACTATTTGTAAATATGAAAAATTATTAAACATTTTACATGGTAAAGAATGGGATATACTTGTGGAAGTTGATAAATCTAAGAAAACATCATAGAAGAAATATAATTTCTGGAGCTGCTGTTGAAAACTAGACCACTATGAATACTGGCTATAAAAGTCAGATTGGCCAGAAGGTCAGATTGGAGGAATATATTATATAGCATCAAATCAAACCTAGATTGGCATTTTTAGCTAATCTCAGTAACTGTAAAAGAAGTATCAAATATTTTGGGAAAAAAATAACAAAGATGCTGTTTGTCACCAAGTTATCTAATTAAATTTTCATCTAAATGAAATCACCCTTTTTTCATTCATCCCCTTCTAGGCAGGATTGATATGAGGTTTATCTCTGAAGGGAGTTCCTGTAAGTTCTCTTGGTATGATGTGTACTACATAAGTCCTGTAGTTACAAGGGCCCTCTAGAGTTCTAACTTTAATTCTTTCCACAGTAATCTTTTGCCATTTAAATAGTTCATTATCACCATGAAATATCTTTTGGTATGTTTGATTAAAGACAGTGGTTATCAAACTGATCTCAGGATTCCTTTATACTTAAAAAATCATTTAGGACTCCCAAAATTTAACCAGGACTTTGTTTGTATTGATTATTATATGTTACTGAGAAATTTTTAAAATATGTAGTTATTAAATATGTACTTATTAAGTCATTTAAAGCAGCAATGACGCTGTTTACATGTTAATATAAATGACATAATTAAAAATAATGATATTGTTTTACGTTTTTACAAATTTATTTTAATGTCTGTATTCAATCTGTTGTGATATATTATTTTGATGAAAGTATATAAAATGTGGCCTCTCAAAGGGAGAGGGAGGACCATTTAATAGTCTGTTCAGACAATTGTAGATGTTTTTCTTGGATATTATACCAAACTCCAACAAGTGATGGTTTGTTTCTTTTTCTTTTTCTTTTTTGAGACAGACTCTCTGTGACCCAGGCTGGAGTGCAGGGGTGCCATCCTGGCTCACTACAACCTCTGCCTCCTGGGTTCAAGTGATTCTTATTCCTCAGCTTCCTGAGTAGCTGAGATGCACCACCATACCTGCCTAGTTTTTGTATTTTTAGTAGAGATGAGATTTCACCATGTTGGCTAGGCTGGTCTCAAACTCCTGACCTTAGGTGATCCACCTACCTCGGCCTCCAAAGTGCTGGGATTACAGGCATGAGCCACCACACCCAACCTGATAGTTTCTTAAATGTAAGTTTTGGAAATGGTAGTTTAAGACATGAGTTTCTTAAATGTCCGTGCAGTGTGGAAACTGAAACCATATCAATGGACTTTTCTTACTCTCTTACATTAAAACGCATTAGTCTAACTTGTACTTTAAATGAATCTTTTACTTCATGCGTGATTTTCTAACACCATGCATTTGTTTATTTGGAAAATACAGGTTGATTGAGTTATAGAGATCTTACAAATCTAAATACATTTCATTATATAATATCAACAAATCAGATTTGTTGATAGACAGACAGACCTTATCAGAAAAGTGAAGCTGTCAAGCTCATGGTGGTAGCTGTTTCCGGAATTCTTATCTTCACTTGGATGGTTGAATTTTGTTGCAACACATACTGATTATTTTCTCTGGAGTGACAGGCTTACTTTGTTCATTTTCAAGTCTGAATTATCACAATTTGTTGGTTATTCTTTTGAGTAAAAATGGTGTTATTTTGATTTTAAAAAGTGGCTAGTTCATCTCACACCTGAAGCAGATGCACAAGTGGTGTGTTTTTATTTTTATTTTTGTTTTTGTTTTCAAGACAGGGTCTTTCCCTGTCACCCAGGCTGGACAGCAGTGATCACAGCTCACTGCAGCCTCGACCTCCCAGGCCTAAGTCATCCTCCCACCTTAGCCTGCCAAGTAGCTGGGACTACACGTGCATGCCACCATGCCTGGCTAATTTTTAATGTTTTTGTAGAGATGGAGTCTGTGTTGCTCAGGCTGGTCTTGAACTCCTGGGCTCAAGCATTCCTACTGCCTCAGCCTCTCAAAGTGTTGGGATTATAGGCATGAGTTACCATGCCTGGCCTTAGGTGCTTTTTCCTAGAATCAACCATCATACCTCAAAATACAGCAGAAGTGCTTTAAGTATACTTTCCATTTTCTCACATAGAATATTAAAAAATTTCTACTGCCTCTTCAAGGTTATTCTTAAGTGAAACTGGCTTTCTTTTTTATTTTTTTAACTGTATGTGGTGGGGAAGAATATAGTGCCTGCTGGTAGTTTTTGATGCCATTGTCTTGCTTCATGCTAAGGCACCAGCAGTTTTACTCACCATTGCTTTTGCATCATTAGTGTAAATGTCAATACAATGAAAATGCAAGTAATGTCTTAATATTATTATGAAAATCCTTTGATTTGGATAATTCTACCTGAGCTGAAGTTTTAGCCTGTTTTTTAAAGGAGGGGATTAAAAGGCAAGTTTTAAAAAGGGAGTCTCATTTGTTTCTTGGTCCTGAATTATCCCAATGGTTTTGTAACCATCGAAGCCTTGATAATGATTACCATTTTCACATGTGGACCTTCTACCACATTTTTATTCTGTAGCCATGTCAAGACCTTTTGTTTTTTTTAGATCTCATTGCTGTTCGTGACTGTTTCTTTTAGTCTTATGGTAAGCCTAAAGCCTTTATTCAAAAAGTTTCTGCTGTCTCCTAATTGCTACCATGAAATGAGCAGATGAGACTCCTAACCATCCATAACTGCAAGCATACTTTGCCATAGTGTTTGAAGCCATTCAGAAAATACATGAAAATACATTTTTTCTGTTTGAAATGATCACCCTACCATTTCTCACCAAAGCAAGGTTTATTTAGCAATTCTAGAGTCGTAAACTACAACTTCCCACTGAGAAAAACTGCATTTGATCCTGTGTGATTTTTTCTTTTTTAAATGAATGAATGAATGAATTTTTTTATAATAGAGACAGGGTCTCACTTTGTTACCCAGGCTGGTCTCAAACTCCTGGCTTCAGGCAATCCTCTGATTATTTTCTTTTAAAATTAATAAGCATCTGCGACAAATAGGTGGCAGTGAAATAAAATAAAATTCATATACAAATCAGTGTTTTGTGACATGCTTTCCTTTTCATAATGATGAAACAGCTTATTCATTTATAGCACTTTAGAAATCACTTTCATAATTAATCCTAATAATACTATAAATAAGATTAAGTATCATTATACGTGAAACTGTTTCACAGTTCAGATATTAAGGCATAGAGACATTTAAGGAGCTTGTATAAGATCACAAAGCCTAGAAGTCATGCTCTGGAGACAGAATGGAAGAAATAGAAATTAATGTATTATTAGAATTGCTGGGCATTGTCAATGCCCAGAGCAGCGTCTGGCACATAGTGGAACCCAGTGAATACTTGTCGAATGAATGAACGGACTTTTCTTTTCAGGCATGTATTGATGAAAATTTGGATATGGTGAAGTTTCTGGTGGAGAACAGAGCCAATGTAAACCAGCAAGACAACGAAGGCTGGACACCCCTTCATGCAGCAGCTTCCTGTGGCTATCTCAACATAGCAGAGTGAGTGAGCCTCTGTGTGTGTGGCTTTGCAGTATTGGTAGGAATAGCCTTCATTACTCCTCTATTCTTAGGAATTTGAATTTTATAAATAATTATAGTCTCTCTTTATTACAGATTACAATAGCAGAAAGTTGAATTATCTTTAAGACATAACTAATACAATGTTTTGTAAAGCTGCTAAATCCATAGTTTTTTGGTTGAAACTTTTTGTTTGCTTCTATTTGCAGGTAATTTATATTTGCTGGGATATGCAGAGGTGGCTGTTCCACTGTCTGGGTTCACTTTCTGAACAACTGTAGCTGGGCATGTATATAGGCAGGCCTGGAGATTTTTTTCTGGATTCTTTGTAAACCTGTTTCATTGTTTTTTTTTTGTTTTCTTTTTTAATCAGTGCTTACTACAAATGAAGGTAAAAAATGCCTAGCATACCAATCATAGCACTCATGTAGTTAATAGCAGAAGAATGAGTCTAAACATATGGAACAAAGGAAAGGTGGGCACTGGCATGTGTTCTCCACATTAGTTGAATGGGAATGTTTAATAAGATACATTAGGAGGTACTATCTCCAGGACAACTAGTTTCCCCTCCCGTGGGTAGAAGAATCCTGACCATGTGGTACCTGAGATATAAGAGGCACTGAATAAATATCTGTTGTTTGAAGGAATGATCGGGGAGTTTAGTTTTAAACAAGGAAGAGACTTTGGCAGTCGAAACATCTTTAAAATGAGGCAGTTGAGCATATTCTAGATGAGGGTAAATTTATATTGTTAAGGTAAATTCCCTAAATAAAATCATGATATTCTATGCTCCTTTGAAAATCAGATTGCTTGTTTGAAGGCCCTTTTCAATAATATGAGTAGAACTCCATTACATTTCTCCTGTTCAGGAAACAGCAGGGAGAATTCTGTTGGCAGCTCTGTAGAGGCCTAAGAATGACTTCCCACAGAATCTGATTTGCCCAGGTTTCCTAAGGGAGAGTCTGAGTTGCTAGGTTTGCTGCTGACCCAGGGATGCTCAGTGGGAGAAGTTAGACAAAGGGAGAGTCAGAGCCAGAGAAACTTTAGGCAGCAGTACTGGTGTTTGACTGGGCTACTTGTTCTAAAAAGTGGATGACTGGGTTGGCCCCAAAGCAACCAGAAATAAACAGTGCAGTTTTCTTCACTCTTGATTCTTCCCTTTGTTCCAATTTAGTAAAAATCAGTAACCTCTTCATCCCCTAGGTTGCCCATTTTCAGAGTCTAACAGGAAGGAGGGCTCTTATTCTCAGTCTTATCCAGTAACGCCAGAATTCTGATGCCTAAGAGTTGAGGTGATTTTACTTAAAACATTTATTTAAGAAACATTTATAGAACATGTTGGCCTTTCAATTGCTATTTGTTCAGGTGGCACGCTTGTGATATTCGAGCTACCAAGTCTCATTACATTCAAGGATTCAATTTTTTCCTAAGTTTTTTTCTTTCACTTTTCTAAGGAGAGCACATGCTTAGAATTAGGATCACTTGTGCTGGCATTATCCTCCTGTGTGTGAAGCTAAGTACAGAGAATGATTGTAATTGCTTTTTTTTTTTTTTACAGTGATTTCTTTAATTCATCCTTATGAACAAATATAATTCTTCTGGAAGTAAGTTCAAAATGTAACAATCTCTAGCTCAGACAAATATTACCTTGTATGAAATAAATCTGTGAGAGCTACTATTTCCTAAGACAAATTATTACAAATTTAACTTGGAAGTATGACCAGGAGAGAGGTGATCTAGACCAGAATACATTGCAGAGGTGGGGTGGTGGTAGAGATGGCCTTCTTTATTTTATTTTTCACTATACATATCATTATTAGACAGGTTTTGACTTTACTGTCATTTATTTATTTGCAGTATGTAGCTTTTATATATATATATATACACACACACACATACATACAAACACAATGGAAAAAAAAATTGTACTATTCATTTTGGTTGCTTTACCTCAGGGCCAATGGAGAATGTTTTAAATAAGATCAGTCCCTGATCATCTCATCGTTTTTATTTTTGTATCTGAAAGATCTTAGACTTTGTGCTCTTATTCCCAGAATCATTAGGAACTCTAAATTTCAAGGGAGTAGAAATGAATAAAGGCAAACTGGCTTTCTAGGAAGAATCCAAGTACATTCTATTTCATGTTTCATGATGATCTTTTTGTCTCAGTATGTTGCATCAAAAGGAGGGAGCTTCAGAGGCTTTTTTCCTCATTTTAAAATGAGTTCAGGCTCAATGCTAGTTAGCTGGGTGTTTTTACATTTTTATTATGAATAATGTTTAACTTAGAAGCAGCGGATTGACCCAAACGTACAGCATTTGGCTTTATAGTTTATTGAGATGCTAATTTATTCTCAGTTTTTGAACATATTTCATTTTCTTTCTTCCTCCCTTAGAATAGTAGCATAAAGACCTTGTATTGGTGTTGAGTTAGGAAGGACAAGAAGGCTTTATTTTCTAGGGGCATATTTATTGAGCTATGAGCCTTTGGGCAACTGTAAGGATTCTCAGAGATAAAGTAGAAATTACTTCATAGGTTGATATTTATTCTTGTCCAGGTAAAGGTAAAACTAAAGAGGTTTTTAACTTTTTTTTCCCCCTAAAACTGGAGAAAATGGAAAAACAGAGAGCCAAATTACTTTCTAAAAATTCATCTTCTTGATTGTAGAACATGGGAAAAGCAGGGTCCTGTATACCCAAGTGACATTATGCCTGATCCAGTAGGGATGGAATAGACGTCAGAGTAGAGTGGTTACATATTTCATGTAGTTCAAGCAATATTTATGGAATGCCAAGAGAAAAAAACAAGTGTCAGATGCCATGGCGATGATAATAGTGAGGAAGACCCAGTTGTTGCTATGAACCAAAACGTATCTGAGACAGGTTTCAATCAATTTAGAGGTTTATTTTACCAAGGTTAAAGACGTGCACCCAGGAGACAGATCTGTGCCTTTCCCCAAAGATCAAGTTGAGAACTTCAATACTTAAAAGGGAAAAGCAGCCTGGAGGGGAAAAGGAGGGGGGAAGGTCACATTCCTGAATTCACAAAGAAAGGAGCGGGTAGGGAAATAGTCAATTAAATGTTCATCTCACGCCCAGTAAATCTCACTTTACGTAAGATAAGGTGAACATAGAGGTGAACGTAGAACCTGTAGAGATATTTAACTTTTTATCTATAGCTATCTGCTTAGGAACAAAAGGTAAGGCAGCTTCTTGCATGACTCAACTTTCAGCTTAATTTTTTTTTCTTTTGGCATAGTGAAATTAGGGTCCCAAGTTTTTATTTTCCTTTCACATTGCATTCAAGTAGCTTTCAGTCTGATGGAACGGTTGCATCGAGGTACAGTGTAAGTCACGACCGAGGTCTAGAATTAGTGTTTGTTGGGGAGGAGAAGAAGAAGGATGGAGTTAAAGGAAGGAAAGAGGGAATTCAGTGTGTGAGAACAGGCAAAGCTTTCATGAAGGCAAAAGCATTTTAAATGAACTTTGAAAGAAGTGAAAGGTTTCTAGAAGGGAAAAGAGAAGGGAGAGAGTTCCACCTAGTTGGAAGAAACAAGCTGTGGAAGAGAGCTGGGTGAGAGTTGATGTGTTTGGGAACAGTAAGTGGTTTAGTTTAATTATAGAGTATAGGGTACACTTCAATCCAGGAAACATTTGTTGAGTGCTTACTATGTGTATTATTTGCATTTTGATATTTCAGGGTTGGGGAGGTGTAGCTGAATATTCCTTTGGCCTAAGGGAGAGGAATCAGAAGAGAGGAGCTATTGAATATGTGGAAATGAAGGGTAATTTATGAATGGAATACTAGGACTTGATAGAATTAAGAATACAAATAGAGGGAGTTAGTTTTGGAATTGAGTAAAGTCTGTCTTCCTCTGAGACTCTAAGGGAAAGAAGGAGATGGTTAAAAGTCAGGTGAATTGTGAAGGCCTTTGAGCTTCATACATGTAGAATGGATCTATAAATTAACAAACATTTGTTGAGGCCCTATTATACCAGGTACTAGGCACCGAGAAAGCAAAAACATGGTCTTACTCTCTATTGATTCTTTTCCCCCTACCAACTTTTTTTTTTTTTTTTTTTGACAGAGTCTTGCTCTGTCACCCAGGCTGATCTTGGCTCACTGCAACCTCCGCCACCTGGGTTCGCATGATTCTTGTGCCTCAGCCTCCTGAGTAGCTGAGACTACAGGTATCTGCCACCATGCCTGGCTAAGTTTTATATTTTTAGTAGAGACGGGTTTCACCATGTTGGTCAGGCTTGTCTCAAACTCCTGGCCTCAAGTGATCTGCCCACCTCAGCCTCCCAAAGGATTATAGGGGTGAGCCACTGCATCTGGCCCCCTCTGCCAGTTCTTTGAATGCAGTGGCCAGTGGCCATATATTATCTCTCTCTCTTTTTTTTTGTAATCTCCTACAGTGTCTAAAATGTGGTTCCTATGGCTGGGTGCGGTGGCTCACACCTGTAATCCCAGCACTTTGGGAGGCCGAGGCAGGCAGATCACGAGGTCAGGAGTTGGAGACCAGCCTGACCAATATGGTGAAACCCCGTCTCTACTAAAAATACAAAAATTAGCCGGGCATGGTGTCACGCACCTGTAATCCCAGCTAATCAGGAGGCTGAGGCGGGGGAATTGCTTGAACCCAAGAGGCGGAGGTTGCAGTGAGCCGAGATTGCACCACTGCACTCCAGCCTGGGCGAGAGAGCAAGACTCTGTCTCAAAAAAAAAAAAAAAAAGGGTTTCTTGAATATAGTAGGGGACCAGTAAATGTTTATTGAATTGTTGAATGGATTGAAGTCTAATCTGAATTATTTTTCTTTTTCCTTTTAATACTTCTGAGTATTTGATAGAGCTCCTAGCATTATTAGGGTTCTCACTGGCCCAAAAGTGACTTGATCTAGAGAAAAGATGAACTAGATTTAAAGTCAAGACTGGGACTGTACCCTCTGCCACTTGCCTGCTATGTGATTTTGAGAAAATTACTTAATATGTATGAACCTCAATTTGTTAAAGTCATGGTAATAATACCCACATTGCCTACTTCCTAATGTTGCCTAAGACTTATGATATAATTTTATGTGCTAAGACTTATGATATAATTTTACTTGAAAGTACTTTGAAAATCAAAAAGGATCTATGTAAGGTATTGAATTATCAGACCTTTCTTCTTCAGAATCAAGTCTTCTATTTGGATTTAGAATTTAGTTACTTAACATTTTAATATTTCTTCTTAAATAATTTAGTTTCGTCTTAGAGTAGAGGAAGATTTCATGTGGATGTCTGGTTGATAGGAGACTTTTGTGGAGGCATAATTTAGGCAGATTTATACAAAATTTAATGGACACTTTATTCTTTTATTTTCACACCCACAGCACTACTTAATAAGCTCCAATGTGGCACTGGGAAAGTTTAAGGCTACATGCCTTTTTTATGTTACTTAGAAATTCTCTTGCCATCCACTGGGAGTGAGAGGATGGGAGTTAGTAATATAAGTGTGAAAGAAATCTTGTTTGTTGGCATTGCTGTAGTGAGGAAATAGGAAAGCCTTTAGTCTTAATTACTGAAGTTTAAGGCACGTAGAAACTAATAATGGAATATCTTAACTGAGACCATATTTTACACTCAAAATAGAGACTTCTCTGTGTATTCAATGCCAGATGCATGAGTAACATTTATATTAGATTGACATAAAATATTGATCCTGGATCTTGTCTACCACAGGTATTTCATTAATCACGGAGCCAGTGTAGGTATTGTCAACAGTGAAGGTGAAGTTCCCTCTGACCTTGCAGAAGAGCCAGCCATGAAGGATCTTCTTCTGGAGCAAGTAAAGAAGCAAGGTAACCTCATGGATTGGAGGGGGCCAGGAAAGACTCTCAAACACTGCCATTTACAGAAAATAATCCATTTGCTGTGTAGAGCATTTCACTGTCATATCACAGGAGAGGATTTGATCTGTCTGCACTGCATTAATCATTAATCCAGCATCAAGTATCCTCATAATAACTCACACAAGAGTAGGCCAGATGCCAAAAGGATGACTAATCATTCCTTGTTTTTGCCATTCAGAGGTTGCATACCCATTATACAATTAAGAGTGACCTGATGAGGAGTGTGAACATTTCTTACTGTGTGTATGCATGGTATTGGGATACAGTGTAAATTTGAGAATTGGCCAAATACAGTTTGTGACTTTGCATCTTTTCCCTTGTTGAGAGCTAAAAGTGGTGCTGGTAAAGATATTTATTGTAACTAACCATGAGAATTAGTATGATAATTTGTTAAGGTGAGGAAGCTAACTTAGAATAATATATTCTAAAAATGCTTATTCTTATTTTATAGTTTTAGGAGAATCAATTTCACAGAATAGGATGGAATTCTTCAACCTGGAAGTCCGTGGGTTCTTTTTCCATCACAAAACTCTGTGGACAAGATTTGTAGTGATTTTTTTTTTTTTTTTAAGTCCTTCTGCTGAACTACCTTACTCACAATCTGCAGTCCATCCCAGAGGATTTAGCTCCAGTGGTCTTTCCCAATTTGAACTTTTAGAACAGTCAGGGCCAATTCTTGCCATGCACATTGTTTACATATTATCCAAAACTGCTTTTGTGCTACAACAGCAGAGTTGAGTAGTAGTGATAGATTGGATGAACCACAAACCTGAAAATATTGGCGCTTTGGAGAAAGTATGTTGATCCTACTTTAATATAGTGATGTTCTAGATCAGTAACTACTTGCTTTTGCTGCCTTTCATGTATAGTTTTTGGGTCCTTTTTTTTTTTGAGACAGGGTCTCACTCTGTTGCCCAGGCTGGAGTGCAGTGGTGTCATCTCGGCTCATTGCAACCTCTGCCTTTCAGGTTCAAGTGATTCTCCTGTCACGGCCTCCTGAGTAGCTGGGACTACAGGTGTGCGCCACCATGCCTGGCTAATTTTTGTATGTTTTGGTAGAGACAGGGTTTCACCATGTTGGCCAGGCTGTTCTTAAACACCTGACCTCAAGTGATCCACCAGCCTCGGCTCGCAAAGTGCTGGGATTAAAGGCATGAGCTATGGCTCCTGGCTTTGTGCCCTATTGAATTGAAGAATTTTATGCTTAGCATAACCTCCAGTTTCACTCAGTTTTATCTCCTAACATTTGCTTTAAAATGTACAAACAACTTTAAAAAAAATCAGTTTTAAAAAATAGTTTTGATTGGAGAAACCACTTTTTCTATTTTGATTGCTGACTCTTCAGTGAGGGAGTATACGCTATTGAAAGGGGTATTCGTATATATGTTTAACTTTGCAGCACTGCTAACACTTCTTTGTGTTTGGAGTACTGATCTGTTTTAAATTGGTTTTAAACTGATCTCTTCACCCCATCCGCCTCCCAAAATCATACAGATAATACTTAGGTATTTGACAGGTTCTCTTTTTTTTTTTTTTGAGACAGAGTCTCCCTCTGTCTCGCAAGCTGGAGTGAAATGGTGCAATCTCAGCTCACAGCAACCTCTGCCTCACAAGTTCAAGCAATTTTCGTGCCTCAGCCTCCCGAGTAGCTGGGATTACAGGTGCCCACCACTACGCCCAACTAATTTTTGTATTTTTGGTAGAGACAGGGTTTCACCATGTTGATCAGGCTTGTCGCAAACTGACCACAGGCGATCCACCCACCTAGGCTTTCCAAAGTGCAGGATTACAGACGTGAGACACCGCACCCGGCAGGTTCTCTTTTAAGAGCTGAAAGGAGTAGACCAAGCACAAAGACTGCTAATAAGTGTAAAACTTTTTGAATGGGTATATTTGTATTTGAGACATTTTATTATTTTGTATAATGGGGTATGCCCCACCCTAACCCCTTTTCACTGGCACAGATATTGGAAAGTTATTGGCTAAAGGGAGTAACTCTTGGAGTTTTTTCATGTTTTTAAGGAAAACAAAATCTGCATTCCCTTGAAAGCAGACAGGTTTTTAAACTGCAGATCACCTACTAATCTGCCCTAGATTATATATATTCAAGTCAGTGTATTTGCCTGTATATGGAAATGAACTTTAGAGATAGTTCAATTTTTAAAGTATATCAATACCTGAAACCAAGATTTTGGATACTAATCCTATGGTATAGTGAGTGGATAGGGACCCAGAAGAAGAATGACACAGAGGGACCCAGGATATCGGAGTTCTAGTGGCAAGCTCTGTCACTAATGTGTTTTGTGGCTTTGAGCCAGATTCCTAATCTTTCTATTTTTATTTCCTCATCTGTTAAATGAAGATTGTAATATCTATTATATTTACCTTGAAAGATTGTTGGGAAACTAAAGTCGTATAACATGTAAAAAGACTTGGAAGTTTATAGCTTTGCACAAATATTATAATGTAAAAATAATGTCCCCTTTGTCTTTATGTTCTGTTGAAAACAATTTTAGGTGCATTCCCTTAATGGATCTGTATCATATAATATTTAACCTCATGATTTAATCCTGGTAAGACCATTAATATGTGTACAAATGCCATTGATCTCCTAAATTTGATAATTACCCAACTTGATGGCTAAATCGTTATTTGCATTTATATTTATGATGTGCTTTAATCTAAGGAAAATATCCTGTCAAACTTAAGTGGAGCTTTAGTAATCCTGGCTGTCCTGGTTTCTGTAGGAGTCGATCTAGAGCAGTCAAGAAAAGAAGAAGAGCAGCAGTTGTTGCAGGATGCCCGCCAGTGGCTCAACAGTGGGAAAATAGAGGATGTGAGGCAGGCTCGCTCAGGAGCTACAGCCCTTCATGTGGCTGCTGCCAAGGGCTACTCTGAAGTCCTCAGGTATTGTCCATTTATATCAATCAGGAGTGGTTCACTGGGAGAAGATGAAATGGGTTTTGGAAGCAGAGACTGACTTAGATTTTCCACTATGATGCGTTTTCTTTTTGTTGGTTTGCTCTCTGATTGTACAGTCTTTCTCACATTTTGCTGGTATTCATCCATGGATTGTCTCCCTCCCTCCCACCATTCCTCTAGCTTCTCACTAACATGTATGGTGTGAAACACAGTTGAGGTATATGGTCCTAGGAGGGGACTGTAATACTCGTGACCATTTGTTCCTTTTTGACTTATATAATTTATTTGGTGTCATTAGATTAATTATATAGATCTTGAGTATGCAGTGTCCAGCTGGCACAGGATAGCCAAAATTATGTGAGGGATTTGGACTCTACTACTCTGTCTGTCCCATTTTTCCTTACATCCATACATGCTTCCTGTAGCTCTTGGTACTTAATGTTGGCAGGCTTTCCCAAATACTTGAGTTGCCAAAGGCATTATATGTGCAGTTGTTAACTGGACTCTTCCAGTATTTCATATTTCACCTAATACAGGGTTCCTAGTAGGTATAGCAGTGTTTTGGTGCTCCATTTCTGCCTGAGAGTGATATCCGTAAGGGCCCCAATGTAGTTTGGGTCTTCAAGAGTCAAATCTTTTCTCTTGCATGCATACAAGTTAAATCATAGCTTTATATTTAGCAAAAAACTGGAGTTATGTGGGTATACAGTAAATATAGTGTCCTAGAAAGATCAACCAGAAAGCTAGTTAGGAAAATACCCTGAAGAGAATTAAGTCTTCATTTTATTTTATTTTTTTAAACTTTATTGTTGACACTATTACAGATAGATAGAATGACCACAGCCTATTAGAGTCTTCATTTTATATGTTACTTCTTCCCTGCACTGGAAAATGGAAAATGTACCTTTAACAGAGTTATGTGATTTGGCTAATTGAATTATGCTTTGGTTAATCTTAGGTACATACCTTTCCATATACTCCCCTTGTATGGTATAACATGGATATGCCTAGGAAATATCTTATGACTTTTTCGAGAGGATTGATAAAGATCATCTGTGATTGGTATGCAAAGTAGTAACTATGAAACCCAAACTGTGCCTTAGAGGGCAGAAGTAATCATAAGACCCCTGTGGTTCAGGGCCAAAATCTGAAATATCAATTAGATAATAGTTTATTTGTCAGAAAACTGTAATATAGAGGAGATACATGTCTTGTTTTGGGTTTTCTTTTTAGACTTTTAATACAGGCTGGCTATGAACTCAATGTTCAGGATTATGATGGCTGGACTCCCCTCCATGCTGCTGCACACTGGGGAGTGAAGGAGGCTTGCTCCATCCTGGCAGAAGCACTCTGTGACATGGATATTCGAAACAAACTGGTGAGTGAGCTTGAACCTCTAAAAGAACAATGAGGTTGGTGGCTGGGTCTCTAGAATAAAAGGCTTAACATCTCTATTCACTGGCAGTCTGACTGTTCTGGTGAAATATACATCACTGGTAGCTATAATGTTACTCTCCACCACCCTACCTCTGGCCCTATTAACACAGAGTTATGTTTGTTATTTAAAATAAAACTCCATGGACCTTCTGATTGTATTTATGTTCAAGCCTCTAAAACAGGAAAAAAATATATTTGTTCTTGGCAAAAAATGAGCTTTGAGGAGCCTAATGTTACTGTCTATGGTAAGATATGAAAGATTTTATGGTTGCTGTATTCATGTGAGTCATTAAAATGTTATAATGACAAAGATCCTTGAGTTCGGCTGAAAATAGTGTTATTCAGCCTCACTTCAAACAACTTAGAAGCTCTGGACCTCCTATCCCTATGTCTACTGATTTTATTTTATTATTATTATTATTATTTTTGAGATGGAGTCTCACCCTGTTGCCCAGGCTGGAATGCAGTGGCACGATCTTGGCTCACTGCAAGCTCCACCTCTCGGGTTCACGCCATTCTCCTGCCTCAGCCTCTTGAGTAGCTGGGACTACAGGCGCACCCTACCACGCCCGGCTAATTTTTTGTATTTTTTTTTATAGTAGAGATGGGGTTTCACTGTGTTAGCCAGGATGGTCTCGATCTCCTGACTTGGTGATCCACCTGCCTCGGCCTCCCAAAGTACTGGGATTACAGGCGTGAGCCACCACGCCCGGCTGATTTTGTTTTAATTAATTTTTTTTCTTTCTTTCTTTCTTTTTTTTTTTTTTTTGTAGAGATGGGGTCTCACTGGTTTCCCAGCTGGTCTCAAACTCCTGGGCTCAAGTGATTCCCCAGCCTTGCCACTTGTAATCCCGAACTCTGTGTTTAAAGAATTTAGTGTTTCTTGTTACATGTCCTCTGTGATAGATGAAGGTATTATCATAATGTATGGTAGACTAATTAGGGAAGCAGTTGCTATTGGAATTAAAGGCAAAAAGTGAATATTGAATAATATTGAGTAATCCCAAAGTGTTGGGATTACAGGTGTGAGCCACTGTGCCCAGCCCATATATGTACTGATTTTCTGGTAGTGCAGAGACATGGCCTTTTAATTAGTAGATATTCTTATCTGTGTCACATCTCTCCCGAACCCAGGTTTCATTCTCAGACTATGGGTCAGGATTCTTAATTATACTGATGCTTCCTAAAAGGAGTAACTTTCTTGTCAGTCCTCCCCTCACTTAAAGGAAGATGATTCCTGTGATTTAATCTTTATTGAACATGTGCCCTGAACCTCCCTCTGAAGTTTTGAAGAGCTCTTTATGGAATTTATCATAGCAATTAAGACCATTTTAGAACAGATACAAGTAGGGATTTCACTTGATTATTTGCCAGGTGGCAATAAGGATTAGAAATGGTGTGATTTCTGCAATACTGTTGTACAAACTCTATATTTAAAGGATTTGGTGTTTCTTGTTATGTGTCCTGTGTGATAGATGAAGGTGTTATCATAATGTATGGTAGATTAGTTTGAAAAGCAGCTAGTATTGGAGTCAAAGGCAAAACGTGACTATTGAATAGTTCCCTAATAAAGTCATGTGATTGCTGCTTCTGTTTTCTATCAGTCATGGTGCTCCTTTTCTCTGCTAGGGCCAGACACCATTTGATGTGGCTGATGAGGGTCTCGTGGAGCATTTGGAGATGCTCCAGAAGAAGCAGAATGTGGTGAGTCTCTGATTGGTGCTTTTGAAACTTTTATAATAGTTTGCAGTTCACACCGAGTATCTCAATTGCTTGTTTCAGTTATGTCTGCTGAGAGTTGAAATGGACATATCTGCATTCCAGAGATGTTAATTGTTCCCTTCAGGAACTATAAACAGTCTGTTAGAAGAATATATCCCAGAAACCATTATTGCTCAGGATTTTTGCTCATTATAAGATAGCCTTCGAGGAGCTAAAAGTTAAAAACAGCCACAAAAAACTAATACCCTTGATTTCTAGAAAATGAATGTGATATGTTCAAATCATATGTTTTTCCAAATAGAAAGTACCAGAGTGGAGGACACCTCGTAGCTTTTCTCTTTCTTATTGACTAAAAGACTATCTTTATTTAAACACATTGATTACGGAGAAGAATATATTTATTTCTTAAAAAATAAGGAAATACACACAATACTAAAACTGTCATTTCATATAGAGAGTATTTGATCAGTGATTCATACTTACTCCAGTTTTATGAAACATCCAGAATTCAGTCCTCCTTTCTCTGCTCCTCATTTTGAATCTTTTATTGTCTGGTCATGCATGCCTTTGGCTTAATTAGTGCTATACAGGAGAACTACATAAGTATGGTATTTGTGTTCAGACTGCAGGATGGAAAACTCACCCAATATACAGATGAAGAGTGAATAAGCCATATTTTTTACTCGTAAAGCAGATGAATAATTTGAGTTGGGAGAATAAAGATCAATGACATTAGGGTGGGACATTAGGGCCAAAAAAATCAATGACGTTTTTTGTTTTTGTTTTTTCTTTTGCACATGCTGTCTCTCAGGTAATGTAAACTAAAGTTTAAGACACATGTGGAAAACAGCAGTTCTGAATCAAAGAACTATACAATGATGGGACAGATCATACCTAACCTCTGTTGTGTTCAGCATTATGTCTGGTATGGTAAAGTGAAGATTCTGGTTATTTTAAGGCTCAGTGGAAAAGTCACATACATAAAGCTCAGACAAACACAACTTAAAGTTCGTTTTGTTCTCTTTGTTGAGCAGTCAGGATCACTGAAACCAAGATTTTCAAATACAGTGTCAATGCTGTTATTTAGCGGCAACAGCCTTCCTAATTATAAGTTGTATATTTTGCACAGTTAAGTTCTTGTAATTTTATTTTTTACTTTTATTTTATTTATTTTGAGACGGAGTCTCACTCTGTCGGCCAGGCTGGAGTGCAGCGCACAGTCTCGGCTCACTGCAAGCTCCGCCTTCCGGGTTCACGCCATTCTCCTGCCTCAGCCTCCCTAGTAGCTGGGACTACAGGTGCCCGCCACCACGCCCGGCTAATTTTTTGTATTTTTAGTAGAAATGGGGTTTCACCGTGTTAGTCAGGATGGTCTTGATCTCCTGACCTTGTGATCCGCCTGCCTCAGCCCCACAAAGTGCTGGGATTACAGGTGTGAGCCACCGCACCCAGCAGTTCTTGTAATTTTAAAAACTTTTTCTGGAATAAGTTTAGACTCACACAGAAGTTGCAAAAATAGAGAGTTCTGTGTATTCTCTACCTAGCATGGTAAGGTTTTTGAACATCAGTAGTATTATTCATGAAATAATATTTCTACACCAGTGGGAATGGTACTTATCTTTGCCCTCTGCATAACTTTGAGTTCCAGGGATATAAATACATTTCATCTAGAGCATGCATCTAAATAGCAGACCATTTTCTCTAAGGGCTTATTTCCCATTTGGTACCTGTGTTTTGTTTAGAAATATTGCCAACTTATTTCAGTATATGAATCATAAAGAATTCTTTCAGGTTCCTTTTGGCTTTTTATCCTTCAGAATCTAGACTTTTTTTTGAAGATTGGGTTTGGATATTTGATAGGAGCAGTTTTATTGAAGTTCTTAACACCATGGCTTTTCTCTTCTACCTTGGATGAGTTCTGTCATCTAAGGAGACCCAACTGATATGTTTCTCTTTTTCTCGGGTTCCCCACTACCTCTTTGGTGTTGGTCCTATTTTCTTCAAGATGACAGTATCATTTTGGTTTTCAATACTGCTGATTTTTCACCAATAGTCAACTTCTTCCCTTTTCTCTCTGTTTTCTCCGTTTCCAGCTTCGAAGTGAAAAGGAGACACGGAATAAACTCATTGAGTCAGACCTGAACAGCAAGATGCAGAGTGGGTTCTTTAAGAAGTAAGACATTTAGGCTTGAGTAGTGGGATGAGCTTTGCTCTGTGTCAGTGACATACTTAACTTCAGAATTTATAAAGTGAAGAAACTCTGTGTTTGTATTTAGCCACATGATCTATAAACTTGTGGGAAAGTATGTGGAACAAGAGAGCGGCATTGATATGTGAGGGAGACACTTAGGAAGGTTGACTGTGTTTTAAACTTCAGAATTAATTTAGACTGTGTGCAGCATTTCAGCATTTAAAAATCCTGGCTTAGGCATTCTTAGTCTCAACTTCTGCCTCTGCTTACTGTAAGTTTCGTGAACTCAGAGACAAGGAGACAATGTCTATTTTGTTTATGACTATACCAGTGCCTACCGTGATTCCTGGCATGTAATAAGTACTCAGTAAACGTTTGTTAAATTATTTTTTTGAATATTTATCCACCGTCATCAAAATTCATAGCTCTCCTTTTTTCTGTGTGTTAAACAGGCCAGATTTCCTTGAGCCATACTCTGTAGTAAAATACTAAATCTTAGTCTGCAAAAATGAAGAGTTTGGAAGAACACACAGATGTAAAGAAGAATTTGAATGTGTTTCTGTTATTGCTTCCACATACAGGTTTATAGACTTGTTGCCTTTATTATACCTGATTATCACTTCTGAGTTACACTCAAGTTGTCATCTTTAATTTAGCAAAGAGAAGATGCTTTATGAGGAGGAGACACCTAAGTCCCAAGAAATGGAGGAAGAGAACAAAGAATCTAGTAGCTCCAGCTCAGAGGAGGAGGAAGGTGAAGATGAAGCTTCTGAGTCAGAAACTGAGAAGGAGGCAGGTAATGCAAAGATGTTCATAGTAAAGACCCTCTGTCTCCATAGTGTAAGGAGATTACTCGTTGTCAGAGAGCTAGCCAGGCCTCACAGGAGTCCAAAAAGAGCTTGAAGTTTAGTTTTCAAGGATAAGATATCAAATTGCCGGTGACCCCCTTATATAAAAACTGTGAGCTATGTTAGACTATATCTACCAATTCCTGTGTAGCCATAGGATAAGGTGCACAAAGAATTCTTAGGTGCATGCTGGGTACAGTGCGTCAGCACTTTGGGAGGCCAAACAGGGTGGCTTGCTTGAAGCCAGGAGTTCTAGACCAGCTTGGGCAACATAGCAAGACCCTGTCTCTACAAAAAAATTTAAAAAGAAAAAAATAATAATTCTTATGTGAGGAATCCAATTCTCCTTACCCTGGGTTGGTAGATGGCATAGAAACCAAAATCCAAAAGTCAGTATGCTGAGAGGCAGAGAAGATGAGATCTTTCAGAAGCTCTTAGGGTCAAACCAACTGGTGAATACTTGCATTTAATTCTCAGGTTTGCCTGATTTCCTAAACAGAATCCTAAAATCTTTTTTTCCCTCTCGTGAGTTGGGGAGTAAGGAAGGAAGAAAATCATATTTACCTTTATGGCTATTATTGATAATATATACCTCATGTAGGGCTTCCTCTTTTTTTTTTTTTTTTTGGGACAGAGTCTCGCTTTATTGCCCAGGCTGGGGTACAGTGGTATGATCTCAGCTTACTGCAACCTCTGCCTCCCAGACTTAAGTGATTCTCATGCCTCAGCCTCCCAGTAGCTGGGACTACAGGTGTGCACCATCATGCCTAGCTAATTTTAGTATTTTTAGTAGAGACAGGGTTTCACTGTGTTGGCCAGGCTGGTCTCAAACTCCCGACCTCAAGTGATCCGCCTGCCTCGGCCTCCCGAAGTGCTAGGATTACAGACATGAGCCACCGCACCTGGCCCTAGAGCTTAAGTTTATTGTTTGACAAGACAGGAACCCCAACAGTGAGTGAGCTGTTGAACATGGTCAGACCAACAAGCTAGAAAATAATCCACAAGTTTTGATTTATAGTCAGGCAAACACTGAGAAAAGAATAGTGTACCTATGCCCCACATTCACTGCCATATTAAGATGAAATGTTTCTGCTAGAGGGGAAAGAGTCACACATTATGTTTACAATGGAGTCTGTGTTTTCCTCTGAACTCTGCCATGGTTGTCCTACCTATAATATATATATAATTTAACTTACTCAGTTGTCTGGGCACCAGCTCCTCATGAGGTGTGGCTTTGCTGATATGATTTCTCTCCATGATGGGAGAATACTACCCTTCTTCATGTCTTAGTCTCTGAGGCTCACTGAATGTCAGTCACCAAAAGGAAGTCAGAGAACCATCCAGTTCTACAGAGAAGAAAGGCACCAGCTAAGTTTACAATATAGGAGTTGACCTTTTATTCATTGAGACTTGAACTTCTATTATTTATCATGCACAGTATGCTCTGGAAATGTTATTGTAGTACCTATAAGAATTTATAAATGTGCATCTTTTTGATATTTTATTATTTATTGAGTACTTACATGTTCTAGGCTTCAAATATTTGGAACAAATATCTGAACTTGCTCTATTCTCGATTACTTTTGTTAGTTGCTAAGGTATGAGAAAAATGGGAGGGAGCTGCCTGAATGACTGTCATTGCTTTGTGATTTGTACCCTTGCCTTAGATCTCTTATTCTCTGTAGCCCGTCTTCACATTGCTATTGGCATAAACACCCACAGTACCCTTTTGATTATGCTACACCTCTGTTTAAATCTATGACCACCTCCCTCACTCTATCTTTGCCTACAGAGTAAATAAACCCCAAGCCCCATAGTCTGGCCTTCAGGACTTTTCATAATCTAGCTCCAGCTGACCTTTCCAATGCTGTACATAGATAAGGACACATTTTGGCCAAGTTGGACTGCTTAATTTCCTCAAACATGCCCTGAGCTTTCCTGCTCCTGAACATTTGTACCATTTAAGCCTAAATTCATTTCAGGCCATTAATGCTCATTGAGTGATTTCTGTAGAAAACTATAGGATCTAGCAGGTTGAAAAAGTCTTTCTTTAGGTTTTTCTGGTATAGGAAGCTGAAAGGAAATGGGCCACCTCACTGTTCTTCTACCCCATGATTGTTCTCTGTTTATGTCCCTCTAGCACTGCCTACTTAACTCTGCTGTAGCACTCATCATTTTGGCTGGGAACTCTGGGTTCATTGTTGAACTCCCAGATCTCAGCTCAATGCCTGGTACGTAACAGGCATTCACATTCATTAAATGTTTTTTGTTGAATATATCTAGTCAGGGAATAGAAAGGTGTATACATGAATAAAATACATGTCACATGAGAGATGTAAGTGTAGTCAATGGTATTCACTAGTCAGAAACATTATATCTAGTTCAGGGAATTACAATAAAACTTTACATTTGTATAGTGCTTTTTACTTTGCACCACACTTAAACATTTTTCTTTAATCTTCACAGCCACACTCTGAGGTATATGTTATTATCACTACTTTTTAGAATGGGAAATTGACACTGTAGGAGGTTAGGTGAGTTAGGTTTCATAACTGGCAAGTGGCGTGCCTAAGATCTGGACTTTGATCTGGGACTCCTCAGAGTAGTAGGGACCCAGGTGGAAATTATCTGCATAAGAAGTGAAGGGTAAAACTGTAGAAAAGGATGAGATCCCCAAAGGACAGATTATATATGGATTTTATATATGATATAATAACGTGGAGATAGTTTTCAGTTTTTATCTGAAAGTTGGAGTTGGAGCCTACCAAGATGGGAATAACGTGGAGTTTATTTTCTTCTGCCAACAGTTGCAAGAGATCTTATGTTAGTTTACATCCAAGCATTACAAGGCCTTAATAATCTGTTTTGATAATGGGCAAATCTTTTCTATTAGCAGAAAAGGACATAGACACAAAGATAAGATTTTTATACTAGTAGTTGTTAATTCTCTTGTCTTAAATAACAGGTAAAAAGCCGGAAACCTTTGTCAACCATTCCAACTCCGAAAGCAAGAGTAGCATCACGGAGCAGATACCAGCACCAGCTCAGAATACCTTCTCTGCCTCTTCTGCTAGGAGGGTGAGTACTTTTTGCTTAATTTGGGAATTAGATTTTACCCTACTGCAGTAGCACACATCCAGAAAGGCCTTGAAGGTACATTCTTGCAAAATAATAAAAAATACATTTTTGCCTGTCGTAATCGGCTCCTATAACAAAAAACACAGGCTGGGTGGCTTAAACAACAGAAATTTATTTCTCACAGTTCTGGAGGCTGGGAAGTCTCAGATCAAGGTACCAGCCAATTCAGTTCCTGGTGAGGGCCCTCTTTCTGACATGAATATAACCACCTTCTCGCTATGTCCTAACATGGCAGAGAGAAGGAGCTCTGGTATCTCTTTCTCTTCTTGTAAGGTAACCAGCCCTATCGGATTAGGGCCCCACCCTATTAACCTCATTTGACCTTCATCACTCCTCACAGACCCTTATCTCCAAATATAGTCACACTGGGAATTAGTGCTTCAATATATGAATTTTGGGAGGACACAAACATTCAACCCATAACATTGCCGCCCAAAATCTATAAGGTCATTACCAAACAAATTTGGCTACCATGTGTTAAGATAACATAAGATAGAGTAGTCCGAGGCCAAAGAGATTTTGTCATTTGCCTCTTTTCTTTGTATCTGAAGTTAAGATGCCTACATGTAAAGTGTGGACTGGGCTAGAAGATACCTAGCATCCAGTATTCATTGTTTTGGTGATTATTCTTCTTTTTATGTTTCTCCTTTAAGACTTTCATGAGTAAAGTCTTTATACCTTATGATGAGTAGAGGGCAGATGTAGAAATAACTTGTTGAAATACCAGAGGCACGTCCTCCTGTAACTTTGTGCAGGCCTCTGAGAATCTGTAGGCTTCTAGTCAGTGAGACTGAGTTGAATGATGACCCTGCTCTACAAAGTATAAAAGTTGTTTTGAGGTTAAGAATTGATTTGAGTTGTTTGGAGTGAAGCTGTTGAAAAAGCTCTGTGGTTATATAGGTATGAACTTAATGATCTTCTTAGCACTTCATGAATTGGAAAGATAGGCTTGTGGTATTCTTGTGGAAATGAGAGAACAAAGGCCTGGCTACTTATTTATCCCTAGAAGCATCCTTGTGAATAATTAAAGAGGTTTCCAATAAATGTAGTCTCACTCATTAATTCAGTCATTTAGGTGTACCTCATATACTGCCACTGCTTCTAAGGATGCCTAGACTTCCTACTTTTTTCAATAGAAAAATACTAAATTAGACAGGTGCAGTGGCTCACACTTATAATCTCAGCACTTTGGGAGACCAAGGTGGGCAAATCACTTGAACCCAGGAGTTTGAGACCAGCTTGGGCAACATGGGAAAACCCCATCTTTAAAAACAATAAAGCAATTAGCCAGGCATGGTGGCATACACCTGTAGTCCCAGCAACTTGGGACTGGGAGGCTGAGGTGGGAGGATCACTTGAGCCCGGGAGGTTAAGGCTGTAGTGAGCTGTGATTGTGCCATTGCATTCCAGCGTGGGCAACAGAGTGAGACCCTGTCTCAAAAACAACAACAACAACAGCACCACCACCACCACCACCACCACACACACACACACACACACACACACACACACAGATACTTATTCTACTTTGCTAAAATGATGCTGGGGAAGGCATTTTCCCCCTTAGAATCAGAGTAGCTTGTAAAAAGCTGACATTATTGAACCCCTACAGCTGGAAGGAGTACATACATGTGTACATTCAGATGACTGATGAAAAGAGAAAATCTTATGTGAGTTGGAGATTAGTGATTAATAGTTTTATTTATTTTCACCGTATCAGGCAGTAAAGGTAGCCTCATATTGGAAGAAAGGCCTAAGTCTTCTTGAAAAGGTCTTGGACCTCAGGAAGGGTCTGTTGGCTTGTGTTCCAAAGACTAGTTGTACCCCAAACTGGTCCTTGGCCTAATGCTGATCTATGATGTTTCCCTAGTTTATGGCAAAATGAGATAATTAAGGACAATGTAAGCTTTCCATAAAGCTTTCTTTTTTGATATTAACATTTCATTTTTAATGAAATGGTGGTGATGATGAGTTCAAAAAGAAAACATCTTTCAGAATGTTGTTTTCTTTTGGCAAAATTAAATTTAAAAGATAAAAAGATAGCAACCCTTTGACCTCTAGTTTTATGGGGTTTTTTTTTGGTTTTTTTTTGGGGGGGCTGCTCAGTGAAATCTAAAGCTGTCTAAACTGCTACTCTAGATCAAATAAATTTCCTTGAAATTAGCAGAATTTAAGTGGAGTGGCTTCTAGAATTTTTATCAATGTTAACTTAAATCACTTTATCATAGTACCTTAAAATGTATTTATAAATTAGCCTGTTCCTGGCTGGACATGGGCTCATGCCTGTAATCACAGCACTTTGAGAGGCTGAGGTGTGAGGATTGCTCGAGTTTAGGACTTCGAGACCAGCCTGGGCAACATAGGGAGAACTTGTTTCTATTAAAATTTAGAGAAAATTAACCAGGCATGTTGGTATATGCTGGTAGTCCCAGCTACTTGGTGGGCTGAGGTGGGAGGATCGCTTGAGCCCAGGGGGTCAAGGCTGCAGTGAGTTCTGATTAGGCCACTGCACTCCAGCCTGGGCGACAGAGTGAGACCCTACTTCAAAAAAATAAAAATAAAAGATAAATTAGCTGGTCTCATTTTTTCCAGTCTCCACATATTATAAGGGATTAAGCTCATTATCGTCATTTTACAGGTGAGCATGTTGAGACCTAGAGAAGTAAAGTATCTTATTTTCAGTTCCACAGTGAGTTAGAAGAAGATACATTACTCGAATATAATCTCCTGGTGTTCCAGGTCAGTATTAATTGCACAAGGATAGCAAATGGTGTTTAATTTCTCATAACAACTCTGTCAGGTAGGAGCACTATGTGAAGAATCCGAGGCTATTTTTGACTTAGGAAGAAAGATCCTGGAGAGGTTATTAGTGTTTGCCGGGTGAGGGAGGGAACATTGGCAGAAAGACTGCCCTGTATTTGTTCTTAGCTACCTTATGTTGCCTCGCTGAACTTAGTTAAGTGTGGAAAAGGCAAATAGGCTGAAAAAGAATCATCAGAGCCTTTATTTTTCATTTCTTTTGCTTCTCTCGTAGTTCTCTTCTGGCCTTTTTAACAAGCCAGAAGAGCCCAAAGATGAATCTCCTTCTTCATGGAGATTGGGACTGAGAAAAACTGGCAGCCACAACATGCTGAGTGAGGTGGCCAATTCCAGGGAACCTCTAAGGGACCGAGGCTCTTCCATCTACCGTTCCTCTTCAAGCCCTCGGATTTCTGCTCTACTAGACAACAAAGATAAGGTGCAGTTTGGGAGGGTATGGGGGAATTCCAATGCAGTTTTTTTTTCCATGAAAATTCAATCTTAGGAACAAATGAAAATATTTTCTAGTCCTTAAGTTGATTTTGGAAATGCAAAGCCTTTAAAGGGAGACAGGCACACTGATAGTTTAATCAAGTAGCTATTTGCTTGCTATTATTTACTTGGCCAAAAAAAAAACTTTAAAAATAGCTTTTCCTTTTAGTTCGTTCAGTCTTCCTTGCCCCCTTACCTAAAGCAAAAAATAGATCAGAAACATAAAAATTTCAATATGGCGGAGGGGGGCACAGGACCGCAGGCAGGGGTCCTGGAGCCAGAGAGCCAATTCCTATCCCCTCAGCAGCATGGCATCGTGTGTTGAACCCTCTGAGCCCTCTGCCCCCGCCTCCTGCCAGGGTCCCACTGCTCGAGGACTTCGAGGTGCTGGATGGGGTCGAGAATGCAGAGGGCAAGGAGGGAGAGGAGGAGGAAGATGACCTTAGAGAGCTGCCACTGCTGGAGGACATGGGACAGCCCCTGGTGGAAGAGACTGAACAGCCCGGGACCTTGGCCCGAGAGTTCCTCACTGCCATGGAGCCTGAGCCTGCCCCGTCCCCGACCCCAGAAGAGTGGCCAGACATAATCAGCTGTTGAGGAAGAAGGCGCTTGTCCCAGGGCCACCGGGTTTGAGCTGCCCAGTCAAGGGCCAGGTGGTCACCATGCATTTGCAGACATCACGAGAGAATGGCATGTGGGTGCAGGAGGAGCCGGAGCTAGTGTTCACCCTGAGCGTCTGTGAGGTCATCCAGGCCCTGGATCTCAGTGTTTAACTCATGGACGTGGGGGAGGCAGCCATGGTCACTGCTGACTGCATGTACTGCTACAGCCCCCAGGACAGGAGCCCATACATCCCCCGCACGCGGCCCTATGCCTGGGGGTGACCCCGAAGATGGCCGTGGACTGGCCTGACCTGGAGATGCTCATAGGGCAGGAGCGCGTGGCCTTGGCCAACCGGAAGTGGGAGTGCAGCAGTGCCCACTACCAGTGGGCGGACTTCGTCCTGGCCACCAACTCCTATGACCTTGCCATCAAGACCGTCACCTCCAGCGCCAAAGTGGACATGACGTTTGAGGAGGAGAAGCAGCTCCTGCAGTTGAGGGTGAGGTGTCTGAACAACCTGGTGGCCTCACAGGTGAAGCTCAACCACTACTGTGCAGCCCTGCGCTCCTGCAACCTCGTTGGAGCACCATCTGGACAACATCAAGGCTGTCTTCCACAAGGGCAAGATACTGCCCCAGCAGGCCATCCCTATCCTGAGGGCGGTCCTGAAGCTGGAACCTTCCAACAAGACTATCCACGCAGAGCTCTCGAAGCTGGTGAAGAAGCACGCAGCACAGCGGAGCACGGAGACCGCTCTGTACTAGAAAATGCTGGGCAACCCCAGCCGTGCCCCAGCAAGGGTGCCTGGTCCAGCCCATGGAAGTGGCTGTTTGGGGCGACTGCTGTTGCTTGGGAGGGTGTGGCACTTTCTGTGGTAATTCCTGCCAGGAACTGACCGCCCAGGTGGCCACCACCCCGTCTGCACACCATGGACCCTGCCTTGCGCTCCCTAACTCCCCCAGGCTCCCTGTCCACTGCCCTCCCTGGTCCAGCCGCCTCCTCCGAGTTGGAGGCAGCAAGGATTGGGGGTTGTGCAGCCCAGCCAGTAGGAGGGACTGAGGCCCTCTAGGAGGAATGCTCAGAGCAAGGGGGCCCTCATTCCTTCAGACCCAGTTTCCCCCCAACTCCCCATCTCCCGCTGGGCTAGGTCTCCGCTGGGGCTGGCCTCAACTTCTCCTCAACAGGCTTGGGGGCAGCCCCTGCTGCCTTGCCTGCCCCACGCTGTCTAGGCTGCTTTCCCGCCACAGTGAAATAAAGCCTCCTACCCTGCAAAAAAAAAAAAAAAAATTCAGTATGGCCTAAGAGGTTCTCTGGGCTTTGAATCCAAATTAAGCTCAGGCAAATTAGTACTTGGAAAAATAATTTTTAACTTGTCATTCATTCATTAATATGGTTAGGCTAACTTCACAAATAGTTTGTATATTCATTCAAGATTAGTAAATTTTTATTTTCTTCACTCTTTAGTTCCAGATTTTATAGGACTCTCTTAGTGCTTTTCTCTGGGGTCACATCTTCCTTTTAATCACAGTCCTCTTGCTTTATACCTCTGGAGACTACTCAAAGAGATGAGGCATATTGGTTGGATTAACTCTGCAGCATACTATTGTACATATTCCTAAGGAAGCTGTATTTCAAGGAAAAGATGTACTGGGGACTACTGGGGACTACATAAATCTTATTTCATCAAGAATATTAGAGTGGAGCTTTCTGTTTGTGGCTTTTCAAAGGCTCTCCTCCTCTCTTGGCAGAGGTGCTGCTTTGTGTAATTTGTGCTGCTGTTTTCTTTATTTGCTCATCCTGACTTTCCCATGAGAATTATTTCCCTTCATACTGTTTTTTAATAGAAGAAAGTTAGGAGTAAGCTTTTGAAAGCTAACCTTTTGTAAATACCACTCAAAATAGAATTAGTGTTGGATCCAGAAATAAGATTATATAGGTATATTAAGTTCTGCTTTTTTACTCAAAATGTTTTACAGTGTGCCAGTATTGTACCTTTCTTGTGCTTTACTTCTTTTTATTTTACAGGAGAGAGAAAACAAAAGCTATATTAGTTCACTAGCACCCCGGAAGCTCAACAGCACAAGTGATATTGAAGAAAAGGAGAACAGGTAATCCTAAAACCAGCCAAAAGATGGTCCTCGTCCTCTTAGGTCTGCTGGACATAGTCATCTCCTGGGCATTACTCTTCTGCATTTTTCCCTCATTTCCTTACCACATTATGAATTGTTTGTTCCTTCTGCTTAGAACACCTCTCAACTCTTATATCCTTGCTTTGCTAGTTCTTTATTCTTCAAATTCTAACTCCAGCTTAGACATTACCTTCTTTAGGAAGTCTTCCCTGATTTTTCCACACATGCATTAGTTTTAGCCCACCAGCAGGCTTTGTAAAGGTAGGGTCTGTGTCTGTCTGGTTTCTCAAGGACCCCTAGTTCCTAGCACAGTGCCTAACACATAGTGAACACTAAAATAATGTTATTTAATTAAATTGACCAACTTCTAATTTGTCAGAAGGTAAAATTAAAGTCTTCCTAATTAGTTAAATATAGGGATTTTGAAGTATTGCTGCATCTCTGGGCAAAATGTGATCTCAAACTTTAGCAGCATTGGCATCACCTGGGTACATTTTATTTTTATTTAAAAAAAAATTTTTTTTAATAGAAGCAGGGTTTTGCTATGTTTCCCAGGGTGGTCTCAAACTCCAGGCCTCGAGTGGTCCTCCTGACTTGCCCTTCCAAAGCACTGGGATTGTAGGTGTGAGCCACTGCTCCTGGCCCGGGTTCATGTTAGGACTCCAGAATCTCAGGCCCTACTCCAGATCTACTGAATTAGAATCTGCATTCTAATGAAATTCCCTAGGTGATTCAAATATTAATACACATTAAAGTTTGAGAAGGATTGTGCTAGAGAATCTTGTGAAGCATGGAAACCCATAGGTTTTGCAGCAAAGACCCTGAGTTATCAATTGTGGATCAAAAATCCTAGTACAGCACTTTCCTGGATACCTTTTCATTTATAATGCTAAAGAGGCTTCCAGCAAGTCTTCCTTCCCCTTCCCCTTCCCCTTCTGTAATAACCTTTTTTTCTCAGTAACTTCTTCATCTTCCCCCATCATTTCCTTCTCTGCTTAACTTAAAAGCCACCTACTACTAAGACTGATTGCAACACACTTTTTTCTTTTTTTTTTTTTTTTTTTTTGAGACAGAGTCTCACTCTGTCGCCCAGGCTGGAGTGCAGTGGCACGATCTTGGTTTATTGTAGCCTCTGCCTCCTGGGTTCAAGCGATTCTTATGCCTCAGCCTCTCGAGTATAGGCATGTGCCACCATGCCCGGCTAATTTTTTTGTATTTTTAGTAGAGATGGGGTTTCGCCATGTTGGCCAGGCTGGTCTTGAACTCCTGACCTCAAGTGATCTGCCTGCCTTGGCTTCCCAAAGTGCTGGAATTATAGATGTGAGTCACTATGCCCAGCCGCAAAGCAGTTTTTAAGTGAGGATCAAAAGTGACTTCTTATTACAAAAGAGTTAGAGACCTTTGACATGAGGAATTTGGTACCTGTTGAAATTAATTGGTTCAAAGTTGATAAAAGAAAGCAGGCAGTAATACTTCTCTTCTGTACAGAAAACAGGTACATAAAACAGAATCACCTGAAGAATGTGTCTATTAGCCATGTTATAGTTTGCCTGTTTGTCTCTTCTCTCTCTGTTTGCTTTGTGTCATGGACAAAAACTGGTGGTAGGAATCAGTGTTTTGTTTTCCTTTCATGCTTCTACAGAGAATCAGCTGTTAATCTAGTGAGGAGTGGCTCCTATACCCGGCAGCTATGGAGGGATGAAGCAAAGGGAAATGAAACCCCACAGACAATTGCCCCCTCCACCTATGTATCAACCTACTTGAAAAGGTACCAGGCTCAAAGGGGGTGGGAGATGTTCCTTTCACTCTAGCCATGGGAATATGGGTAAGGATTGCATGCCTTTTTATGTCTGATTAACACCACAGAAATGAATCAAAATGAATTACTTTCAGGTTTCTTAGAATTAACATCTTGAATAATTTAAAATTAAAATTAATTTATTCTCTTAATAATTGAATTAAAGTAAGCTAATTTCAGATTCTCACTACTGGCTTCATACTTCATCCTCTCCATTCTATTAAAATTTTCAGTCAGAAGTGGCTTTCAGTAATGTCTGGGCAAGACTGAATTTAAGTTATCCTTGTCCAGTAGCTGGTTCTCCTTATTCTGAAACAGAGTAGTTCTCATCCCATGTGCTATTTTTGGGGGGAGAAAGGGAGGGATACTATAAAGTGGGGAGGGATGGGAAATGGGGACAGTTTTCTATTGCATTAAAGAAGTTTCATACTGAAGCCTATTAATTTAGGGACTTGAGTTGTTTTTTTTCTTATGACTTTAATGGCCCTCAGATCCATCAAGATGTGAAACTCGCAAGTTTGGTGCAGAGAAGGTACATGGGTTTCCTTCTTTTCTCATCTGTATTCCCTTTCTGCAATTATTTTCTTTGCCACATACTAGCCAGCAAACCAAGCACCTTTGCCAGAGCCATTAAGCTACAAAAATACTTAATATTTTAATTTGAACTTTGCTGCTAATGTGGAAGAATCTGTTTTTTATTGCTTACTTTGAATTCTTTCTTCACTTCCACTTAACCCCTCCCACTATCTCCTCATACCATAGCCTTCATCACTGGGTTTTTTTAGATGATTGGTTGGCCACCTTAGAAACAGGCCCTGGCCATAGACTAGATGAGCACATTAACTCTTTGTAATCAACACTTATTTCCACTTGACAGAAAAACTTGTCAACTAGTTATTGTTGAAACATGGGAAATAGCTAGAAAACAGTCATTGTTGCCTTTTAATGTTCTTCAGTTCTGTAGATACATTCTATAAGAAAGGGCTCAACTTGGGAAGTATGAAAGTTTGATGGACTCACTGATGCTTTATTACACAAAAGAGGTGTTTCTTGCTCTATGAGGCTATCACCTATTTGTCTTAATGGCTAAGGCCTTGGTCTTCCTGGATGCATTATTATTCCTTATAGTTGAATCCAAGATCAAGAAAACTTTTCTGAGAAAATAATGTTCTAGATCAAGGGAAGGGAGAAAGCTGCCATTTAATTTCCAGGCATGGAGTTATTCTGCGGTGAGGTTGTTGATTTTTGTGATCCAAATAATCAGCAAATGAGTTGAGAGGCATTTGGTTTGATAGATGTAGTTTGGCAAAGTTATGGTAAACAGTGAAGGGACAGGCTGCCTCTATTTAGGATCAAAAGCATGCTTAATGATGTGAGCACTTTTTGAGGAAAAGATGTACAACTTGCTTCATATCTTGAATTTCCAAAACTCTTCTCCTGTAACCCTAAAGCATTTTTTGATTTTATAAAAGCCGATCTTATGATTTTTAAAAGGAAAGAATCTTATGCCATCACCATTTAAAAGAGCAAGTGTAAGGAGAAATTTGTCATTTCCCAGCTATGCCAAACCTTCATATACATTCCATTTTCTAGTTCATCTCTTGTGTATAGGCAGAAATTCCTTTCATATAGCCCATATTAAAATACCTCTTTTCCAAGGAAGGCTTTATAGCTTTTTTTTTTGGTTATCTCCTCAAGTGTCTCATTTCTATTATAGTCAAGAAGTATTTTTGAAATTTGAACCCAAATAATTTTTTCCTGCAATTGAGATGGTTCTTACCTGTCTTCAATTGAAACAAATAAAAGTTGCCCTTTATTGCTCATACAGTATTACTTTCTAGACTTAAAACTTTAAATCCTCCCAGAGGCAATTTTGCTTTAGGCTGAATAACTGCAGTTCTCAAAGTCACTTTTTTTCACAGAGCTTCTTTACCGTTTTCCACTTTTAAATTTTAAATCTCTGCTCCACAACCTCTCCAAATTCTCTGGTCTTACTTTTGCTTTTGCAGTGCTAATTCTGTATCAGGTAGACATTTGGGGTTGCATGATTATTTGCATTGGGTTTGTTGGGAATTATTTTCTTCTAATAAAATTATCCTATTTCCTATTATTCCCTTTCTTAGCCTCTCCTCTTATCATATATTCTACTTTCCTGCTTTCCCTCATTCAGTATCATCTCTCTTCCTCCACGTTCCTTCACTCTTTTGGATGATTGACCAAAAAGACCATCCTTCAAAGAGTGATGATTCCTTCATTCTTTTGGATGATTGCCTGCTTGCTGCCAGTGACTCAGCTCTAACTGGAGTTGATCACTTCACTTCCCAGTTGTCATACCCTTTCTTTGGTCTATATTCATTTCAAGTGCACAATCTGGGTGGGAAGGTGGTGCTGGGAAATGGTGGGTGAGCAGCATGTCCTGAAGAAAGTGACTGTGTGCTGTTTTGCAGTGCTTCATTTGGTAGAAGTAGTGACCCCACAAGTCCCTACATTTCAGCCAATCGCAATTCATCTCCTGCTACCTCACCCATTACCATTGGTTCATCTACCTCTCGGGGCAGCCAGTGGCAACCTGCCTCTTCTTGCCCTGCACCAATCAGTGCAAACACTACTGCATCTGTACATCATGGCAGGTAAGGCTTCTTGGAGCCATTTGAGTTGCATTCATCAAAGTTAATGGCTCTGAAAACAAATATGAAATTTGAACCAAAGAGACTTTGTCACTATAAAAGCAAGTTAGAATTCCTGAGAAAATGTCTGAATTTAATGAAGATGCTTTTGCTTTGACTTGTATTAACCAGTCAACAGTTGCATATTGAATAATCAAAGGGTATGTATAATTGTACTTGGTGTTTGGACATCAGCTTAATATGACTGATTTCATCTCTCAACAACCTTACCAGTTGTGATTACAATTTAAGGGTCATACTATTGTGCTAAATTAAATATTGAAAATATTTTCATATTTTACTTCTATTAATTTTCCAGTAATTATAATAGGAATCTCTTGTATTTAGTCTTTTAAATGGCATGCAAACCCAAAGCAGAAAGAACGCTAACTCATTTTCCAAAAGCCTGTGATAGCCTTCTGAAAACTCCCAGCCAACGAGAGTATTTTGCTGGAAACATTGTGAAAAGGGACAGATTTGTGTTTGTCTAAACTGTGTTCTGGGGGGCAGTATCTTCTTGGTTTCTAGTTCAGCTAAGGGATAGCATGGTAGAATGTTATTGTGAAAGTACATTAGGACTTTAGCTGTAATTTTAACTGTGGCTTTTAATCCTTTATGTGTGGTGGGAAAGGGTCTCTTTTTTTGGGTCTGTGTCTACAACTGACAAAGAAAATGAAAAAAATCTTAATGATGGTGTTGGTGCAGGAACGCCAGTGATGGTGCTTGATTGATATTTGTCAGTTTACTAGATTTCTTTCCCTAAAATAAGTGGTGATCATTAATTCAGCCAGGAGGTAAGGGTTTATGATGGATTATTAATAATAATACTGTGTAATTACGGGTAAATTTATTAGGTCCTTATAATAATCCATTTGCATAGACATGTTAACTATTATCACCATAGATGAAGAAACAAACATAGAGAGGTTATTATTATTATATTATATTACTATATATATATGTATTTTTTTTTTTTTTTGTGAGATGGAGTATCGCTCTGTCACTCAAGCTGGAGTGCAGTGGTGCAATTTTAGCTCACTGCAACCTTCACCTCCCAGGCTTGAGCTATTCTTCTGCTTCAACCTCCCGAGTAGCTGGAACTACAGGTGCATGCCACCACACCCGGCTAATTTTTTGTATTTTTAGTAGAGATGGAGTTTCACCATGTTAACCAGAATGAGGATGATCTTGATCTCCTGATCTCATGATCCGCCTGCCTTGGCCTCCCAAAGTGCTAGGATTACAGGCGTGAGCCCCTGTGCCTGGCCATATTACTATATTTTACATATATAATATTACATATTATATAATAATACTATATTGCTATTACTATAACTATGAAGAGCTGCAACTGAGAGAAAATAATTACAACTGCAATTTGTTGGACCCCATTATGTGACAGGCATTTGGTTAGGTATTATATTGGTATTTAGTTTGCTTACATGTAACAATAAATCTAAGTAGTAGTGGCTTAAATAAGATAAAGTTTTTTTTTCTTGCACTTAAGAAAGTCCAGAAATATGCAAAGCTGGCTCACTAGCTCCACAGTCATTAAAGGATCCAGGTTCTCTCTTCTCCACAGTTCTTGCATCATGGCTGCCATTTCCATGGGTGGCTTCGTGGTCCAGAATAACTGCTGTAGCTCTAGCTATCATGGCTGTACTCTACAGAAGAAGAAGGAGGAAAGAAGGAAGCAGACAAAGAAAGAATGCCTCTGAACTGAGAGTTTTCCCAGAAGTACTAGTTGTCTGCATATGTCTTACTGCGTACCTCTAGTGGCCAGGAGACTTTGAGAAGTGTGTACTTTAACTAGGTATATTGCTGCCATCAATAATATAGGGATTCAGTTCATAAAGAAGAAAGGGACAATGGATATGGGTTAGACAACTAGCTGTCTCATGCATACATATATCATCTATTCTCTTATAATGAGCCCCCTATTATATAAAGTATTATTTTATAGATGAGGAAACTCGGACCGAAAGGTTAATCATCTGCCCAAGGTCACACAGCCAGTGAGAAACTGAGGTGGGATTTGAACCCAGATTTTTACATTTCAAAGCTCTTATCTATTTTGTCACTGTTTGTTTCTGCTGAGTTTGTATTTTATTCTGGGTACTATTTTAGGTGTCCTGCAGACATTATTTTATTTAATCATTAGAAGAACCCTGTATTTTAAGGTGCCACTATCTCTATTTTGTCAATGAAGAAGAGATCAGAGAGTCTACATTTAAGCAAATGTTGTGTTTCCAAAGCCCACGTTTATTCTACCCCATTGCATATCCTCTGATCTCTGCTCTAGGGCTGTGCTTATTCTAACAATCTACTTGTAAAATTACACTGCATTTCAAAATAATAGTAAAAGTCCTATTATGTAATTTAATAAAATAAAATCCTTGGCATTTCAACAGCATAAGAAATTACAGTGAGACCAAAACATGTTATTAACCTAAAAAGAACTTCAAGTAAGGTTTGGTTAAGTGTAATTTTTTATAGCTGTGTGTCTAGCTAATTTTATTAGTACTTCCTATAGATTCTTATCTTGTAAGTCTGAGGAATTTTTTGCCTTTTCTTTTTTTGTTAAAAAATAACTATAAAATTTCACTTTTTTGTAGTCATTAATTGCTTCTGGAGAATTAGCATGTGTTTTTTAGATATTACTTCTATCTTTTAAAATAGTCTGCTTTTATGTTTTATCTAGGTACCATATTTATATTTTTATATTTTTATTATTTTTTCAAGCTTGTAATGTGATTATTTGGAAGTAAGCTTAGAGCTACCTGTGAACATTTCTGCTAATAATTGTGAGTAGGTGAAAAAAATAGATTTTTAATATTTGTGCTTTTCATTGCTTTCTCCATCTCTGTATCAGTTGTGGACCTCTGTTACCCCAGCAACAGCTGTGACATCACAAATGATAGCTTTTTGGGTGGAGAGCCAATGGTTGCTCTCAACTCTTTGTTAAGAAACAAAGATCTTGTTTTCATGTAAATGAGTTTAATTATACAGCTTGCTGTTGAAAAGTCTGTAGTTAAGGATACTTATAGAATCTGGTTTGGTTTTTGTTTCAATTTCTCACTTCTGCAGTTATGAATATAGACAGGCATTTGGTTAAATGGAAAGAGAGAGCAGTTACTGAACTAGGTGAGGGAGAACTAAGCACACTGAGCTGTAGTATCAGTTGTCTCTGGATAATCCAAGAAGATGGTCATCAAATCTAGGCTGAGGACTACCACAAAGACTCCCACTGCCAAGAATTAAGGAACAGGTAGAGACTAATATCGTAAGTGACTTTAATGTCTTTTTCTTGTGTAGAGAGGCCCTGTCTCTGTGTGCATGTGTGGAGACCAGATGTTACTGGGGAGTCATTTAAAACACTCTTGCATATGTCACTATCTTGCCTTGTGCCATAGCTAATGATTTTTGTTAAAACGAAATCTCAGGCACACACATACACATACAAGTCTCATAAAATGTAACTCCTCAGGCAAAGGATGTCAGACTGAACGTGTAATTATACTATTCCAAACTGTAAGAGCGCAAAATTAAAAATCCAACAAACAACATCAGAGCAAGATTTCCTAGATGAACCGCTCTTTAATCCTTCTGTCTCTGTGCCAGTGCTTTGTTGTATAGCATGCCTAACCATTTCCTTTCTGCTTGTATCTTTTTTTATTTCAGGACTCCTCATAAATCCCAGGCTGACTCGACAGCAGAGAAAACAGCAGACAATGTCTCTTCTAGCACCCCGCTCTGTGTGATCACCAATCGCCCTCTGCCTAGCACTGCCAATGGGGTTACAGCTACTCCTGTACTCTCCATTACTGGAACAGATTCCTCTGTGGAAGCCAGGGAGAAGAGGAGGTATGTTGAGTTACTGATTTCATTTGTGGGGCTCTGCTTTGAGGTACAAGATAAAGGAATGGGCATAAAGTGCTTTTCCCAATTTCAAATACATTTATGAAAATTTATCTTTTTTTTTTGAGATGGAGCTTTGCTCTGTCACCCAACCTGGAGTGCAGTGACACCATCTCGGCTCACTGCAACCTCCTCCTCCTGGGTTCAAGCGATTCTCCTGCCTCAGCCTCCCGAGTAGCTGGGACTACAGGCGTGTGTCACCATGCCCGGCTAATTTTTTTGTCTTTTTAGTAGAGACGGGGTTTCACCATATTAGCCAGGATGGTCTTGATCTCCTGACCTCATGATCCATCTACCTCGGCCTCTCAAAGTGCTGGGATTACAGGGCTGAGCCACTGTGCCCAGCCTGAAAATATATCTTTAAATTATTGTTCTGTCTTTTGCCTCTGAGCAGTCAGTTTTTGGTGACTCAATTATTTATGATTATTTAGCATAGACACTTATGCCGTTATGGATTTAGGCATATCTTTTTTCTGTTTGTCTTGTGATAGAGACAATTGTTAGGCATTATTTCACCATTTTGTAATGGAGAACCTGTGAAGCACAGAGAAGGATCTTTTGTTTTGTTATGGGTAGTCTATGTTGACTTCTCTGGCAGCAAAGAAAGGGAGCAGTATGACACAAGGCTCAAAGAAATAGAGCTAGGATATAAACTTTTGATTACTTTGAGAAGAATACCAGAAAAAGAAATGAATAGTATGTGATGATATGGTAGAAGAATAGTGACTAGGTGTTCTGTAATTTCCTTAGAGAGAAGTTGAGAGAACATTGTGAATTGACATAAAAGATATTTAAGATAGAAGCTAAGAAAAACTTTTTGATTGCCAGCATTAAGAGAAACCTTGGAAAATGTGACCAAGCAAGAATGGGTCATTTTCTCCTACTCGAGGAAGTATTAAAAATAGAATGTACCGCATTTGGGAGGTTCAAATGTACTTGAAGACTAAGGCTATAATTATCCCTTGTTAAGATTAGACCAGGTGAAATCTTATCAAAATTTAGATTTCAGTTTGACTTCCTATTATTTTGAATATCCAAAGGAAGGAGCTTTTATATTTGTGTGTATTTAGAGACTGTCTTTTCTCCAATGTATGTTCTTGGCACCTTTGTCAAAAATGAGTTCACTGTAGATGTATGGATTTATTTCCGAGTTCTCTACTCTGTTCTATTGGTCTGTGTGTCTGTTTTTATGTCAGAACTATGCTGTTTTGGTTATAATAGCTTTGTGGTATAATTTGAAGTCAGGTAATGTTATTCCAGTTTTGTTCTTTTTGCTTAGGGTGGCTTTGCTATTCTGGGTCTTTTGTAGTTCCATATGAATTTTAGGATTGTTTTTTCTGTTTCTGTGAAGAATAACATTGGTATTTTGATAGGGATTACATTGAATCTGTAGATTGCTTTGGGTAGTATGGACGTTTTAACAATATTGATTCTTCCAGTCCATGAATATGGAATATCTTTGTGTGCTATTTAATTTCTTACACCCATGTTTTATAGTTTTCATTGTAAAGATCTTTTAGTTCTTTGATTAATTCCTAGATATTTTGTTTTATTTGTAACTATTGCAAATGGGTTTACTTTCTTGATTTCTTTTTCAGATTGTTCACTCTTGGCAAATAAAAATGCTACTGACTTTTGTATGTTGATTTTAAATTCTGCAACTTTATTGAATTTTTCAGTTCTAATAGTTTTTTTGGTGGAGTCTTTAGGTTTTTCCAGATATAACATTGTATATCTGCAAACAAGGGTAATTTGACTTCTTCCTTTCCAATTTGGATGTCATGTATTACTCTCTCTCTCTCTCTTTTCTTTCTTTTCTTTCTTTTTTTTTTTTTTTTTTAATAGAGATGGGGTCTCACTGTGTTTCCCAAGCTGGTCTCAAACTCCTGGACTCAAGACATTTTCCCACCTCTGCCTTCCGAAATGCTAGAATTACAGGCGTGAGCCACTGTGCCCAACCTATTACTTTCTCTTGTCTGATTGCTCTAAGTAGGACTTCAGCATTATGTTGAATAACAGTGGTTGAAAGTGGACATCCTTGTCTTGTTTCAGATCTTAGAGGAAAGGCTTTCTGTTTTTCCCCATTCAGTATGATAATAGCTGTGGGTTTGTCATATATGGCTTTTAATGTGTTGAAGTATGTTCCTTTTTTACCCAGTTTTTTGAGGGTTTTTATCATGAAAGGATGTTGAATTTTATCAAATGCTATTTCAGCATCAATTGAAATGATCATAGGGTTCTTATCTTTCATTCTGTCAATATGATATATCATACTGAATGATTTGTGTATCTTTGAACCATCCTTGCATCCCTGGGATAAATCTCACTTGGTCATGATGAATTATCTTTTTATTGTGTTGTTGAACTTGGTTTCCTAGTATTGGCCTGTAGTTTTCTTTTTTTGATGTGCCCTGTCTGATTTGGTATCAAGGTAATGTTGGCCTCATCAGGTGAGTTTGGAAGTATTCCTTCCTTTTCTGTTTTTCAGAATAGTTTGAGTAAGATTGGTACTAATTCTT